GTTCTTGTCCCAGGAAGGCCCTCAAGGTCAGGATTTGACCTGAGGCTAAGTTCACTACATATATATATATTTTTTTTTAAATACAACTCTCCTCTTAACTTTGTCCACAACTTTTCTTTTATCTGTTAATGCTGATGCACCTTTAGCTTCTTTCTGTACTGCGGGGCACTTTCTTCTCAGAGAAGTTTCCAGAAGCGGTGCACCAAGCCTGGCTTGTGTTTGCTGCCCCCTGTAGTTCAGTCCTGGTCACATCCGCCGGGGTCACCAAGGAGGCCGTTGGTGTTTCTTGGAGGAAGAGTCCAAGAGCTACTTAGTGGCAGGATGCTTTTCTTTTCAAGACTTGAATGTGTTTGATTCTAAATAGAGCACACATTTTTTAACCATCCTCAAACAAATGAGATGATTTGTAGAAAGCAGCCATCAGCGATCGATTGAAGAACTGGCGAGCGACGGTAAACTGCGTCTGAGTGGTTTTAGCACTCTTTGTTCCCTCTTTTAAAAACGCCTCATATTGAATCTTGACCATCTTGCAGTGAGTCTGCCACATACATAGACTGCACACAAGCATGGGGCCAGTTCCTATCACTTCACCATCAACCAATCCAGGCCATTATTTAATCTCTACCTTTTTTCTTCCTTTCCTCTCTCCCCCACTTTTCTTAGAAGCGTTTGAAAGGCGCCAGACAATGGCCGGTAATGAGAGCAATGCACACTGTGCCCCGTGCGCTGGTGAAAGTGACTATGGGGAGTGACTGCAAGGCCCCCACACCAGCCACTTCAGCCATGAATGGGTCCAATCATTGATGGCTCGGTCATTACCATCAACTGCCCTCTTGACGATTTACTCTGACTTCTTGGATTTTTATTTTTTGTGGCGGCCAAACGAGCTATTCACCGAGCCTGATCAACTCAACGTTAGGCAGCAGGCTGGCACCCAGTGGAGACTGACCACCTGCTCGGCGCTGAGGAGGGTAACGGTGGTCCACACCAACTGTTTGGTCACATTCCTTGTTCTTTTAATGGTAATGGAGCTAATGCGAGTCAGAGATGGCGAGTGCTTTATCCTCCACAGACCAAAGTAAGAGGCTAAAGGTAATAATGACCAGGCATGTAATTCAATTTCCTGCGCTGACCGTAAAACTTTTATTGCCAGAATGCAGCAGCCGCTGATAAATTATATGAAATAGGGATGGTAAATATGTCAAAATGTATTAAAAGCATTTATAATAAAGAAGTCACGAGGCTCGTTTCAGCCTGTGAGCCGTGGCTGCCAGTGTTGCGGTGAGTAAAAGCACAGACGGGAGGCAGGATTTATGAGTTTTCCATGTTGTGCTGTGCCTCTGCGTCAAAATGAAAGAGCTGCTGAAATATCTCTGAAGATTCAAAACAAAACTGAAGAGATTGTAAAGCTTTTTAACTCGGCAAAGCTGCTATTAGGGTTTTCTTTCAGGCTTGGATAAATCACATTTTCATGCAATGGACAAAGCTGTCCAGGCACCAGAGATGTTTTGCTCGTCTCGCTTTCCCTGCTCTGTTATAAACCAACAGAAAGGACAGGACTGCCTGCTGCTTCCCACCGACATCAAGCAGGATACTTTATGCATCTTCACTTTTCTTCCCTGCATAATGACCGAGCATGTGTGTACAGAGTATAAAGGATCGGAAAGCCTTCCTGCCGGTCTGACTGGCAAGCATCTGAGGCGCTTCCCTGCAGCACCGCTCCAAAACCCCAGACCCCAATCACCGAGCAGCGCTCTAATTAGCAGCTACCGCCATGGAGCCTGCGGTCGAGCGCTGCCTGGCTCCCAAACTCTGAGCTCTGCTACCGCTGCTGTGGAGAGAGTGAGACCGACTCTCACAGCTTCTCAAAATGGAGCTGAAGACTTTCATTTCAGAGTCCTCACGGCTCCAGAGCAGCTTTTCTGGTTTAGATAGAATCCGTGAGTCAAAACCTTTTTCAGTATTTCAACTGTAATTCGTCAACAAATAAAGTGTAGCTGAATTGCTAACAGTGAGCTGGTGAAAGGGGAGAATGATTTATAGACTAACAGGCTGAAGAAGGTCTTGGAAAGTTTTACATGATCATACAACCTGATGATAAACACACATTATAAACATTTAGAATTTAACAATCATTTAAAAAGTTGCTCACACCAACAAACTCCAAAATATGTTAGAACATGTGACATCCCATTTTTGTAATAAATATGAAAGCATTTTTGGAACTATAACATGATTAACATGTTGCAAAATAAATTTCATGTCACTGAGATGAAAAATTGTTGAGATATTCTTATGAGCAGCAACAGGAAGTGATGTCAAAGGGGGAATTTCTGCATGTAAACTATAGCTGACATCACAGATGGTATCTGATGCTTCTTTAGATTATTTTGAGTCACTATCAGAGAGAGACAAAATGTCAGAGTACAGTCCCTCATTTATCACGGGGGAGCTGTACCATGAAGCCTCACGATAACTGAAAAACCGCAAAGTAGGAATAGTAGTACAAGTAGTGAATAGTATTTTATTTTAGTATATATATGTACACATATACACATATATATATATATATATATATATATATATATATATATATATACATATATATATATATATATATATATATATACATATATATATATATAT